ATAGACAGTCAGTCAGTTAGTTTTGAGTCTCTCATCTCTGTATATATATAATATTCTATTTTGGGACTCGAGTTGCCTTTTTGGCCAGATTTTATCAGTTAAGTTATTTTATGTCCTTGCATGGCATTGAGTTATTCTGTTGAGTTAGTTTTCCGCTGAGTTAAGAAAGCCAGGCCAAGGGTTCGCTTGGGGTCAGCGATGGTCTCCGAGTGCCGGTCCCGCCCAGGGTGTAGGCTAGGGGCGTGACATGTATCTAGTATGCAGATACACATACAATTTATAAGCCAAAATTCATTTACGAACATATCTAGATATGAAAGAATTCATGTTTTTGATACAAGTAGATGACCAGATACCCATATTCTTGATAAATACAATTCAGAAATATATCAGAAGTTAATGTCTACCATGTTGATAAATTCTTCGTTAGATACAGATACATGTATATACCTAATAGACATATGAAGACTTACTGCATATATAATGAAAAAGAAAAAGATACATTAACATGTTTAAATACAACTGATACATCTAATAACAAGATTCAAAACTTGTGAGACTGAGATACTTAACATTAATTTCTTATACATATATAAGAAATTATGTTTAATCTTTCTCTCATTTGTATCTTTATCGCAGTCTACAGCGAAAATAATTAGTTAATAAAAATACAACATACCATCATGAATTTATCAAAAATATACTTGAAAATCCATAGAATTCATGACTTCAGTAATAAAGAGTTTGTGGAGTCTTCGACGATGAATGTGAACTGTTTGGCCGATCCATTAAATAACTTGAAAGCTTTCTTTATAATAGTACTTCGATTTGGTCTCGTTAGAAAGGAACAATACAAAGTAAGGTTTAGGTTCAGGAGGTTTAATTTGTTGGTCATGGTGATGATATCTTGAGAAGGAAAGAGTGGATTAGCCGTTGTTGAAATGAAATTGTATGGTGAAATTCTTGAATCGAAAAGAATGAGAGATAATTGAGTGATAAATATGGGAGGGGAGAATAAAGAGAGTGGTTGATTTGGAGTAAAAGAGTAAATCAAGGAGATAACTAATCAATTTAAGTTTTGAGGAATGTGGGTATTCAATAATATATGGTATAAAATATTAAAAATGCTAATATATGTAATTATTTGGAAGTAGAGATAATATTAATATATATGATAGTAATATGTATCTAATAAGATAGGTTTAGGATATATATATATATATATATATATATATATTTTGTTAGTGAAAAATTACAAAATAATAAGAAAATACAAGATTACAATTGATAATAAAATGAAGAAGTAAATCTCTTCAGGCTGAGGCGCGAATATCTCGCTCTCTTTAAGGAGATTCAAGCCCACTGCAACAAATGTTTTTCACCGGTCCAGCAGTAGTCCTTCTTGACTTGTCCCCTCCAGGATACAACAGCTTATTCACAATATATAACCCAACATCTCTGGACAAGAGTTGAGTTCAAAGCTCCACAAAAAGAACACTTCCCTTCAACTAATAAGAACTCTCTCTTTTGACGAACTCTTTCACTCTATATTTTTCTTGTGTGTTGTGTGTCCAAACCAAATGAAGACCACCACTATTTATACTAGAGAGAAGTCTTCCTAACAATGAATAGGAAGATAATGGGATAGTAAATAGTGAAGATAATGGCCTTAGAAGTTACATAGATTACAAGGTATAATGGAGAAATAAATAATGAAAATAAAGAGAGCGTAACAAATGCCTCCAACGTTCACTGGAACGTTTCTGCCAGCATTTTATGACCACTAAGTCAATGGCCAATTCATGAGTAATTAGGCAATATTAACACACCAAAATAATGAGCAAATTTAATAAGAAAAATAATATTAAAATGCTCAATCACTAACATATATTAAAACGTACAACTATATTTATGTTGATAACTTCATAATTTAAATTTGGAAAAGGGTCAAAAATTAATATTTCCAACTTTAGTTTATAAGTTGACTATATCCCTACTGGCTACTGTTAAAATAAAGTTATTCATACCTCGTCGTTGCAGAGAAATTATACTTGTTGATCAAGAAACCCATAATTCAGATTTTGAGTTATGGGGAAGTAATGTTGCAATGAATGGTGATCAACTGACAACTTCAAGGGGAAAGTAAGTTTTAAGAAAAGTGTAATTCAAATTCCGAGTTCTGGGGGAGTGTTGAAATTAATGGTGATGCTATGGCGGCTGAGTTCTGGAGGAGTTTTGGTACATTGGTGAATCGGCAAACACTTAGAGCTCGTTTGGATTAACTTAAAAGTTGGTCAAATCTACTTTTAAGTCATTTTTTGACTTCTGGAAGTGTTTGACAAATATAAAAAATAACTTAAAATAAGTTACGAAGTGTTTGGCAATGTAAAAAAATGACTTAAAATAAGTCCGAAATCAAAAATAGGTCTCCCCCTACTCTTTTTTTTTTTAACTTAAAAGTCATTTCAATTTGACTTTTTATTTTTTGACTTAAAAGCTATTTTTTTAAGCCAATCCAAACGGGCTCTTACTAATGATGCTTTCATGGCTCTCAAGTCTAACTATGATTATTCCATTCCATTCCATTTTCCACTGTTTTTTTTTAAGGAAGAGGAGAGGGTGGAGTATATGTCATGAGTTTTTTTTTTTTTTGGGGGGGGCGGGGGGGTAATTTAGCTGCTCCATCAAACTTGTTTATTGACCGGGTTATACATTAGAGTGGGCGGGACATTGGGTTTAAAATGAGGAATGAGTCTTTTTTTAAAATTTGGGTTAATTTGGGGATTTCTGTCAATTGAAGGATACAAATGATGAAATTAATAACGACGAGGATATGAATAACTTTGTTTTAACTGTAGGGTAGGTTTATAGTCAACTAATAAACTTAAGTTGAGGGTATTTTTGACCCTTTTCCCTTTAGAAAGTAGAGATAATATTATCTAATAAGACAATAACTACCTCATAATTTTAATTTTTATGTTCTCTTTTTCTCTCAAAATTGTGTTGATTTTTCTAATAGTAACTTTTACACATCATATTATATTTTGCAAGAACAAAGAATAATGATAGGCTTGGCTTTGAAATACAAACTCTTTTTAGTCCCATGTGAATCTTTATTTTGTATGATGCTTAGTAACTATATAATAGTATATTATATCTTTTATCACAAAAAAAAAACTTGGGAGTGTAAAATCTATGAAACTTGTTGATAAACACAACTCTATGAATCTTCCATTTTTGGTGCAAACATCAAATGAGTATTATAATACTCATTCCGTTTCAATTTATTTATCATATTTTTTTTAATCTATTTTAAAAAAATGTCGTTTTCCTTTCTTTTTTTTGGTAATTCTATAATTTTAATTTTCTACATGTCATACATTTAAGACATTAATAAACAATTTGGTACATTTGACTTATCTTTAATTTAAGATCACAAGATTAAAAAAAAATATTTTTTAATTCCATGTCAAACTAAAACAGTACAAACAAATTGAAACGGCGAGAATAGTAACTTTTTCTTGGTTCTTTTATCTTTGACCAAGCCTTTAGGATAATATGGCAGCAGTGGAATTCAAATTCAATTTTATTAAAAATCCACCATATTGCTATCATCAGCTCTCGTAGCTCAGTTGGTTAGAGCACCCGTTTAGTAAGCGGGAGGTCTTGAGTTCGACTCTCAACGAGAGCAAAAATAGTTTAATATTAAATGTTTTTTTTATTACTCCCTCCGACTCATTTTATGTAACATCATTTGACTTATCAATTTTAATATTAAATGTTTTTGTTATTACCCCCTCCGACCCATTTTATGTGATATCATTTGACTTGATACAGTTAGGAGTGTTCATGGTGCAGTTTCGGTTATTGTTTAAAACCAAACCCATTTTATGTGACATCATTTGACGTATCAATTTTAATATTAAATGTTTTTGTTATTACCCCCTCCGATCCATTTGATGTGACATCATTTGACTTGACACAGTTAGGAGTGTTCATGGTGCAGTTTCGATTATTGTTTAAAACCAAACCAATATAATCAATTTTTAAATTTTGAAAAAACCAAACCAAACGAGAAAAAAAAAAACCTTTTGTTTGGTTATTATTGATTTTTTTAAAAAAAATCAGTTTGAAAGTAATAAATTTGATGAGGGCATACGCATTTCAATATACACAGACACCTAGTACATGAACGATCAACAAAAACATTTTCCATCGTACCGAGCATATCCATAGTCACAAAAGACATTTTTGACCTTTTTCCAAACCTAAAGCATGAGTTTCAATCTTGAAATTTTTAGTTCAAATATCAGGCAAGTATAAACCGCGCATGTTGAATGAATTTACCGTAAGATAGTTGCAAAATTAACCAATCTTGAAAATGGTTCAACAACAAAGGGTCTGTTGACCTCTCATCCACTTTGTTTATATACATTTAAATGATGATGAAACTAATAGGCCACAAATCAAAATCCTGAGGAACTCTTCCCCTCTGGTGATTGATTCTTAGCACCCTTGTTGATCACGCCATTGCAGATAAATTAATCCAGCGCGATAATGTGTATAAGCTGCTGCCACTACAAGTACATGAAATAGGTTGTGGCTATGGCCAGCAATGTCAAATTTCCCCGGCATCCATCTTTCTGGAACTCTAAGGGCATAGATTAATGCTCCAACGCCGTATAAGGCACCCATCAGAACTTCATAACCAGTAGTATGAAGTGCCTCAGGTTGGTTCCAATAGAGAACCAACTTGTGTAGAATAGGTGCCACACCTGACATGCCCATCCCGAAAAATAAACCTGCTCGAAGGCTTCTAAATTTTGGCTTTTGAAACACAGGAAGGAGAGAAGCCAACATTGCGCCAACTCCCAGGACAGTGATAAATCCCAGGTAGAGGTATAAGAAAAAGGGGTAGCACATGAAGGAATAATAGACAGGAGGGTAAAATGAAGTTGATATCAACGCAGCAATACCAGCATAGTCGAACCTCAGCATTACATACGATAATCGCTCTGAATGGCAACAAAGTAAATGACATGTGCTGCTTGCCAATAAGCAAAACATTGCCCCACCAAGGAAGGCATAGAATGGCCACCGCGTTATAGGCTTCACCATTAATGGTGCTATCACATTAGCCACATCCTTCACACTATGCTGCACAAATTCAAAAAAATAGAGATATATCAATCACCAATGATGGTCAGAGAACAAATGATTTTCTGTACGTATCCTAGTATTCATCAATAGATTTACTAATGACTTCTGAAATTTCTTCATTTGTTGTGAACCAGCAGGTTCTTTAGGAAACAATCATTCAATCGGAATGATAGTGATAGAGAATACCTATTCAGGATGAAAAAAACTTGAATCCGAGAAAATCTCCAGCAGATGAAAGTCAGAACAAATGGAAGACACATAAGGGTAACACTCCACTGGTCCATTCAGTGGATATAACTTCACAAGAATAGGAGAGAAAACTATACTGACCTAATAAAATTATATCTGCTCTGATGAGCTTTTGTTGTGCAAATAATAGGGTAACACTAATAAATATATTGACATTGTAATATCCATGATTGAAATCTAAATCTTGTTTTGTTATTTTGAGAGGACAGTCATCACTATAGTGGTCATCAGGAGCGGAGCTAGAACCCATAAAGTTCAAATCCTGGCTCCACCTCGGTTGGTCATCATTTACAAATGCGCAGGCTTGGCTAGAGGAAATTTCCTAATGAAACTGATTAATATGTCACTTTTGAGGTCAGTTTCCTTATGTCATATTAATATCACACAATCATTAGATCTTCACATTTGCTCATATGCAGACACTTTAAGATCGGATGTCCATTAACAAGGGAGAAGGAATTTGTGTAAATCAACAAACTTCGGAAACAGAGGCAGAGAGTGGAGACATGACACGAATTTGCTATGTCACTTCATGCAATGGAGATGTGCACACTTAATACAAAGAGACTAGACATAAAAGGTGCAATGAACTCAATGATATTTAAGTAATCCGATCAGGGAAATAAACTTGACACCAAGCCATCTTCAAATATCTAGGTACAAAGTAAATAAGTAGATAATCCATTGGCATTTTAATTATAGAAAAACAACGTCTTTTCACTAACAACAGATTTCTTCATCTCTAGGTATAGGCAAAACAAGTATAAATACTTCAAACTGAAGCATTAAGAGAAGATGAGACATGCACAACCCAATGAAAATAACAAAGCCTTATATGGCTTTTCATCGTTCAAAGAAAACAAAGGAAATTGAACAGGTTTGATACTGCAACACATGCTTACCGGGCATGAAGCAACACTTAAGTTCTTCCTTTCCCCAAGAGTGAAGTAAGATTTTCTCATTTTGATATATATATACAGAAGCTTAAAATATTAGAAAACGAAAAAAGTGAAATGAAACAAATCAGCGTAGCTCAAAAGTAGATAGAGTAGAATTCATTCGAGAGAGCTTTTAGCTGTGAAGAAAAGGGATGAGAAATCAGTAATCTATGATCTAGCTTACTCTGAAATAAGAAATTCTCAGTCAGCATAAATATATTGACCATTAATGACATAAATTGCAAATTGCAAGGCACCATCTGGGATCAAGAATATGAAACTACACTAAAGAATAGAAAGTATAAATATAGCTGAACATTAATTAATGTTTAAGCTCAAAGGAAGAAGATCCCAACCAGTAATTTTTCTAACAAAGACAAGGAAACCATACCAGAACACCAACATCTGTATGATTGCTGTGGGAAAATCGATCAGGTAGACAATTCGACAGGAGTTGCAGTAAATGCTCTTGAAGTTTGTGCAAATCAGGCATATTTGGCAAAGAAGGAATACATGGTAAAAGTTCTGCTGGTAATTTGTGTATATCAATCTTCCTAAGCTTTTCAGGGAGATTTTGTAAAGTCTGAAGATCCACAATATCCGGGACCTTCATTGCAGTATAAATGGTCAGCACAAGGAAGAGAAAGAATCCTATCAAATGCCTGCAACACACAGAGAAATCAAGATTCAATAAGAAATTTTTCTTGGTTTTTCGTTTTTTCTCCTCAATTTAAATCAGATATTATGATAGAAGGATAAAATAGAAGACTAATCAAGCCCTAACAGTAGTAATAACTCATGGAGTACAATTACATTGTCAAACCTCATAGCTCAACTTAAAGAAGCTACCGACATAGATTATACAATTTGTTCAAGGATGTGAGAGGCCCTCCAGAACTCTTTCTGTGATCACACTTCACAGTGAACTTTGTTAGAAGATGTTTCTAACTATACTCTCCACTTACTGAACCCTCTTCTGAATCTTTTAAGAACCACTAAAAAGTATTTGATCAATTTAGTAGATGACTTAAATAGGAATCTTATCCCTAGGATAATAGAAGTCAATCATTAGTTATGCAAGAGGCATCAAAGAGATGTTGTTATAACTATTGCTAGGCAAAGCCCTGTCCGAAAAGAAGAAGTAGTCGACTGCCTTCCAAACCATTATATCTTCTTCTTTAGAGACAAACAGAAAAAACACAGCAAAATTGTTTCTGATTAATAATACAGTCATTTAAAGCAATTAACTTGAAAACTACATAAAAGTTTTACATTCTCATACCTAAATACAAAGATAAAACACAATGAATAATGCCTTATTATAGAAGCTATAGATTTGGAAACATCCAGGGAGCCATCTTGCCAATAACTATCCCAAGTACGACTACCCAAGAGGAGGTATGTATAATGAAGCTAATTTGGTCCTGCCTCATCTGACCCATTCTTTCCCAACGTACCCACAAACTTATAAAATTGGGATAAGCTCATGGACAAATACATGGACAATGCTATTAATCTCAGTCAAATGATTGCTCGCAGGAGTAACCACCCAGTTGCGGAATATTTTATTCTTAAAAAGTTCTATATTGGAATCTCAAATTATCCTTTATTAACCACTCCATACAAAGCAACGGATAAGGAACTAAGAGATACTGAGTGACATCATCTTAATATATGCAGCGTGGATTTTCCATTAAAAAGTGAGCTTTAGAGCTTCCTGAGAAGCTTTGCATACAAAGTTTCAGATTCAATGCCTATTGGTTTTTTAATAAAGAAATTTTTAAAATAACAGAGAAAGAATAATGAGAGAGAAAAATACTGTAATGAGGTCAAAGAGAACTATTATTTTGCTTTCTTGAACTCTACATTTACAGAAACAAAAGCAGTAAAAAGATAATAATAAACTAGCCTAGAACATCTCTACAAAATATATCTAAACAAACAAATTAAAATAGGAAAAAACAGCTAACCAACTATTAACTAGGATTTATTCAAAAACTAAAGCAGTAAAATAAAGTCACTGCAGTTCAAAAGCATAATTCTAACAATGCTTGTACCTATATTATGCACAATGAGACAACATTTCTTCTGCAAAATTACCAAGATTAAGTGTGACTGACATAAACGAAAAAGTTCCAAGTTTAGAGAACCGTCCAAGTTAATAATTGCAAGAACATCTTACAGAGAAAAGCATCATAGTGCATTTTGATGCATGTTTGTCTTAATCGAGCTAGAGTTGAGTTGGAATCAATCTGGAAGAGCGATACTAAGTTGAATTTGAGCTGGATGACTAAATGCACAGCTGAGTTGAATTTGGATTTAGCTAAGGAGTTAGTTAAGCATTGTGCATTCAGTTAGTTAGTGAAAAGACATTTACATGTATGGATTAGTTAGAAAGTGAAGTGAATTAGGGAACTGCAATATCTTCAGTATTACTGTGTGATCTCCCTCTTCTTCCTATTCAATTTTTTGAGTTAGTCTCTCCGATAGGTTCTCAGCTAACCTTCATATCTTTCGAATCTTTGAGTTCGTGGGAAATTGTGATTTGAATTCAATCACACTTCACATTCTTCTTTCTTCATAGAAATGTTTAAAATCAAGAAATCTCGACAAAGTTCCTAACTTGTTTACCACAAGCTATATAATATGAGGCAAAGAGGTATTATTGAAAGTGAAGAGTGGAAATTCTTACGTCCAAATATTAAGAGTCTCATTGTGAATAGTGAAAACACTGAGTAAGGCCTGCTTCACTGGCCATTCGCATCGGTAATGACCAAGAATGAATTCATTGTCTTTCAAATAGCCAGGCAAGGAATGATACTCCACCAGCTGGTACTTCACCTTCTTCCACAATCTCTTTCGCTTTTCTTCCTTTGAATTTGAAACACGCAATGGTTGAGTTTCAAATGAACCACTAGCATTCAAGGCCTCTTCAAGTTTTTCCACATCGCCCCCCATCTTCCGTTTAACCATTAACTGTCAAATATCAAAAAATACACAAGAAAACTGAACACATAGATGAAGCAACTGGAATATTATCAAACACAGATGCATAAAAAATAGAACTTTGAATTGAAAGCAAATACTCCGACAACATATTTGATATTCTCCAGGATCAAATATTCAAAATGCATCTTTCTTTAACCCAAATTATTGTATTTTCTGGCGGTTGTCCCTGCTTGTTGCTATTGTGGTCTTTTTCATCTGTTCAAAGCTAAGGGACTGTTGGAAAGTAGGTACAAAACTTATAATATCGTAGCCGCTCATGGTTATTTTGGCTGATTGATCTTCCAATATGTTAAGGTATGCATACACACTCCCCAGACCCCAGTTGTCCCACTTGTGAGATTACAATGGGTCTGTCATTGTTGTTGTATTCAAAATGGATCATTTATCATTATTAAAATTCAAGCATCAGATGTCTGATACAGGACACAACTAATCCAAATTCGTGCAGCGAAAAGCCCATTATGGGGTTTTAGCCCTCCATACTGAAGAGGACTCTATTAGCTCAAACCCGAGACATGTGGTTTAAAGGAAGAAAAATCTTTACCATTACACCATACCCTCCAATTGTTTTACAAAAGAGAATCCCATTTGTAGTATTTACATATAGTTTTTGGTATTAATTGAAAAGAATAAACTAATCGAGTCCAATTGAGCCTTAAAGTTGATCAAAAGGTCGTTCAGTTAGTTGGCTCGACTATCTGAACTTTCACTTATTTCTAAGGGTTCGATTCCTCATCTTGTAATCCGCTCCGCACTTCTCCTCCCCTCCCCTCCCCTTCCCCCAACTTTTCAAAAACTAAAAAAAATTGATCAAAATTTTGACATTAAATAAACCAAAAAAGGAAGAGTACCCAATAAAATTGAGACAAAAAGACAGAATTTTACGCAATTATGAATCGCAAATATAAAAGCAATACCCAGATACATGAATTGTAGAAAAAATAAACAATCAAGAATGAAATTTACCTGGAAGAATGGGAAAAAGCCTTTGAAAAATGGCGATTCAGATAATTGGACTAATATATGTTCGTATAATTCTTGCGGAGAGAATTTCAGAGTTGGAATGAGAAGAGAGAAAGGGAAAAACAGAGCTTCATCAATGGAGGTCCAACAATACCGGAGTTACAATAATAAAAATAAATAAACTTGGTTAAGGTCGAAAATGGAAAAATATAAAATATATGAATCTAAATATACATAGTAATTTAATTTTCTCCTTTCTTCTTTAATTTTTATATAACTGCACAAAAATATTATTATTAATAATTTTAAAAAAAACGTAATAATAATCTATCACACGTAAAAATAAGACGGAAGGTATTGAATAACAAATTACTAGTATAAAGTAACAATTATACTTATTTAATTTCAGATTTTACAAGTTTTAATTTATATATAGTAATGATCCCGAAAATAATTTCCTCTTTTTCGGAATAAATTAACTAAATTTAGTGGTAATGATCGAATTTGAGTGTATATTTTTCTTGTTAAATTTAAAGGTAAAATTTAAATACCTTTCCAAGAAGTTGGATCTAATAATATTTCCACACACTTTATATTTTTTAAACAAAGGTAGTGGTATGATTGAGATTTCTCCATCGTTAATTCGAGGTTAGATTCGAGCTTCTATAAATGAAAAGTTGAAAGTGACACCTCCAAAAATATACACTCTAATACGTGAATCTTAATTTAATCGAATCTTAATACTATAAATATTAAACCCCCAATAAAAAATTTGAGAACTCTTCTTTTAACAAAGGCAGGCAGCAGTCCTTGTTAGACCAGACTGCATATTTTATTGTGATTTTATGAGTAAAAAATCATGTCATTTTCATTTTGGAACAACATGTTTGATAAAGTCATATTGAAATGGTCTAAAAACTTTCTACGTTAAAAATCAGAGTCAAATATATTCTCAGCGTTATCGAATAAGTTCAATTATACGACTATTTTTGTTCCGTCTTGTTACACTTAAATTATTGGAGTTTGAGTTCTTTACATATATAGGCAAAAATATAAACAAGAAGAGAACTTAATTTGTTAATTCTTCATTGAAGTTGAACACAATCTAGATTTAGATTGTATAAATGAAAGTATATGTGAAGGGAACAAAAAAATGTCTTTCGTTTGTAGTTTAGTCCAAAAATGTCCTTATCGTAACACCGTTAATATTTTGGTTCAAAAATGTCCTTGCAGTCAATACTTTGATTCAGAAATGCCCTATAGTTACTAAATGGGTCGAAAATGTCCTTTTCTGAAGAAATATATTATTTTTTTCCTTTTTAAACACATATTCTTCCTAATTAAAATATTATTAAAGAACCATGTTCTTGTTTTCTTTCATTTAAAATCACTTTAACAAATAAAAATGTAGGAAATATTGTTTTTCTTCTTAATCTCATTTTATCAATTAAAATAGAATAATTTCATGTACCCTTTTCGACATATACCATATGTCATATATAAAATATCATAATATATCCATCATTAATTTGTATTTATATAACGATAAAAAATAATTATAAGAAAATAAGAAATATTATATTTTTTATTTTTTCTGAATTGAAGTACGATAAACATTTCCTAATTTAAAAAAATATTATTAGAAAAAAGAATATGTTAAAAAGAAAATAAATAATATATTTATTTAGAAAATGAGCATTTTTACCCATTAAATGACAATAAGGGTATTTTTGGACCAAAGTATTGACGGCAAAGCATTTTTGGACCAAACTACAAACGAAGGACATTTTTGCTCCTTTCGCATTGTTTAAGGGCATTTTTTATCCTTTTCACTATAAAAAAAAACATGACTTGTGGAATAGTCTATTATAGATTCATTCCTTTGTATATCTTCAGACAGACCTTACTAAATAAATAAAACCTCCCATTTGCAAGAGAAAAAAAACTACAGTTACAATACAAACAAGGCTACAAAATCATCTGGTAATGAATGACATATATCGGATACAGATAAAGATAACTGTCTTAACCGTCGGTCACATCTCTAAATCAATTGATAATATTTAGGCCTTCTGTGTTTGTATTGTTGGGAGGTAGAATGTACTCGATGAAACCATTAAGGTGTGTATAAACTAGTTTATCGTCACAAAATATTATGTGTTCAGCAAAAACTTACATATTGTTATAAATAAAGAAAATGTTTAACTTAGATTGCAAGAGGAAAGAGAGAAGGAATAAGTAAGGTAGAAAGAAGAAGTAAATATTTGTTTTCACCTCACTTTGATATCTTGCATTGCATATCCTTTTATAGGGAAAATATTACTTGGAGAAGTGATGTTGCTATAGTAAAAGGGTGGTGGTCTCATGACATCCACATATTTACAACACTCCCCCTTAGATGTTCATGTAAAAAAAAGAAAATACATATAATTATAATACGCATTGTTGTTGCCTCATTAAAAACCTTACCAGGAAAATCCAATGGGATAAAACCTTGGTTAAGGGAAAAAGAGTGCAGCGCGTATTTACTCCCCCTAATAGTGACGTTACTTAATATCTCGAAGATAACGCATTTCAATCTTGTATCTCAGCTTCTCAAAGGTTGACGTTGGTAATGCCTTGGTGAATATATCTGCTAAATTATCACTGGAACGAACTTGTCGAACATCTATTTCACCATTCTTTTGTAGATCATGAGTAAAAAAGAATTTTAGTGAAATATGTTTTGTTCTATCTCCTTTGATGTATCCTCCTCTTAGTTGAGCTATACACGCAGCATTGTCTTCATATAATGTGGTTGGGATGTCTTCTTTTAAAGGAAGACCACATTCTTCTTGGATGTGTTGAGTTACTGATCTCAACCACACGCATTCTCGACTTGCTTCATGGATGGCTATTATTTCTGCATGATTTGAAGAAATAGCAACCGTAGTTTGTTTTGTTGAACGCCATGATATAGTTGTACCTCCATTTGTAAATAAATAACCTGTCTGAGATCGACCTTTATGTGGGTCAGATAAATATCCTGCATCTGCATAGCCAATTAATTGTGAATCAAATTATTTTGAATAAAATAGTCCTAAATCAATGGTCGAAAAATATCCTACATCTGCATAGCCAATTAATTGTGAATCGAATTCTTTTGAATAAAATAGTCCTAAATCAATGGTCCCTTGAAGATATCTAAATATATGGTTAATACCATTCCAGTGTCTTCGTGTTGGGGAAGAACTAAATCTAGCTAATAAATTTACAGAAAAAGATATATCTAGTCAAGAATTACTAGCAAGATACATCAATGCACCAATTGCACTAAGATATGGTATTTCAGAACCAACAAGTTCTTCGTCATTATCATGAGGTCGAAATGGATCTTTATTAATATCAAGTGATCTCACAATCATTGGGGTGCTTAATGGATGTGCTTTATCCATATAAAATCTCTTTAAAATATTCTTAGTATATGTTGATTGATGAATAAATACTACATTTGTAAAATGTTCAATTTGTAGACCAAGACAAAATTTTGTCTTTCCAAGGTCCTTCATTTCAAATTCCCTTTTCAAACATTCTACTGCCTTTGAAAGCTCTTCGCGAGTTCCAATGCTATTCAAGTCATCAACATATACAGCTATAATGACAAATTCAGATCCAGACTTTTTAATAAATACACAAGGACAAATTGGGTCATTCTTATACCCTTCCTTTAATAGATATTCGCTAAGGAGATTATACCACATGCATCCTGATTGTTTCAATCCGTATAAAGATTTTTGAAGTTTTATTGAACAACTTTCTCAGGAATCTTTATATACTTCAGGTATTTTTAATCCTTCAGGAATTTTCATAAAAATGTCGTTGTCTAGTGAGCCATATAAATAGGCTGTAACGACATCCATCAAATGCATGTCAAGTTTTTCATGAACTGCCAGATTTATAAGATACCTGAACGTGATTGTGTCCACCACAGGAGAATATGTCTCCATATAATTAATATCAGGTCTTTGCGAAAATTCTTGTGCCACAAGTCGTGCTTTATATCTTACGACTTCATTTTTCTCATTTTGTTTTCGCACAAAGACCCATTTGTACCCCACTGAATTTATACCTTCAGGTGTTCGGACTATCGGTCCGAAAACTTCACGTTTTTCAAGCGAAGCTAATTCAACTTGAATTGCATCTTTCCGTTTTGGCCAATCATTTCTGTCTACATTCCTCGACAGATTTTGGCTCAAGATCCTCATTTTGTTGCATTATTTCTATAGCAACATTATAAGCAAAAAATTGTCGACAATTATATCATTTCGGTTCCATATTTTCTTGATGAGACATAGTTTATTGAAATTTCTTCATTATTTTCAGGCGCCTGAACCTCTTCCAAGGTTTCCTCAATTATTATGTCTCATTGCTCTTCTTGAGCAGGTTCTTTTCATATTATGACCATCTTGATCGTTAGCTCCTTTCCTTTTTCGAGGATTTTTTATCTTTGGAACCGATTGGTCTACCACATTGTAAGCGTGGTTTAGACTCATTTGTATTAATTAATTGTCCTATTGGGACGTCAACTCGAATTGGAGCATTAGCAGCTGAAATATGAGATTTAGTAACTCTTGATAGGTCAGTGAATGCATCTGGCAGTTGATTTGCAATATTTTGCAAATGGATTATCTTTTGAACCTCTTGTTCACATTTATTTGTACGAGGATCTAAATGAGATAGTGATAATGCATTCCAATCTATTTCTTTTTTCAGCTGCTTATTTTCTTCCCCTAATGCTGGGTATACTGATTCATCGAAATGATAATCAACAAATCTTGCCGTAAATAAATCTCCAGTCATAGGTTCCAAATATTTTATAATAGAAGGAGATTCATACCCAACATATATCCCCAACCTTCTTTGGGGACCCATCTTTGTACGTTGTGTGGAGCAATTGAAACAATACCGCACATCCAAATATTCTTAGATGGGAAATGTTCGGCTCCTGACCAAAAGCCAATTGTAATGGGGAGACTTTATGATAGCTTGTCGGTCTGATCCGGACAAGACTTGCTGCATGTAAAATAGCATAACCCCATAATGAAATAGGAAACTTTGTTCTCATAAGCATTGGTCTAGCAATTAATTGAAGACGTTTAATCAATGATTCTGCTAGACCATTTTGAGTATGAACATGAGCAACCGGATGCTCAATTGTTATCCCAATTGATATGCAATAATCATTAAAAGCCTGGGATGTAAATTCACCAGCATTATCAAGACGAATTTTCTTAATTGTATAATCTGAAAATTGTGCTCTTAACTTTATTATCTGAGCGAGTAATCTCGCAAATGCCACATTGCGCGTTGATAATAAGCACACATGTGACCATCTTGTAGATGCATCTATTAAAATCATATAATATTTAAATGGTCCACATGATGGGTGAATGGGCCCACATATATCACCTTGTATACGTTCCACCAGAAATACTAGAGATTCAATTCCCACTTTGATTACTGATGGTCTAGTAATCAATTTGCCTTGAGAACATGCAGTACAATAGAATTCCTTAAATTGAAGAATTTTATGGTTCTTCAAAGAGTGTCCATGTGAACTCTCAATTATTTTGCGCATCATATTAGAACCGGGATGGCCCAATCGGTCATGCCAAATAATAAAATCATTTGATTTAGTAAACATTTTGTTTACTATGGCATGTGTTTCAACCATGCTAATATTTGTGTAGTATAAGCCGGATGAAAGAGCGGGTAGCTTTTCAAGTACAAATTTCTTACCCGACATCATTGTAGTAATATAAAGATATTCATTCTTTTCATCACTTGTAGTCTCAATATGATAGTTATTTTGACGAATATATTTGAAACTTAATAAGCTTCTTTGAGACTTACTACAATATAATGCTTCATTGATTATTAAATTCGTTACTCCGATAAGTACTAAGTTAGCTTTTTCGGAGCCTTCTATTAATTTTGTACTACCAGATATTGTATTCACATTAGCTTCTTTCATAACTAAATAAGAGAAATATTTCTTATCTTTTAAGATAGTATGTGTTGTGGCACTGTCTATAAGACATATATCATCATAATTGATTTTGGATCCAACTGATGACAGGGAAATTTCCATATTCTTCATAAAAATAAAAGATATTATAAGAACGTGAAAAACTAACAACAACAAAAAACTTTAAGAAATTACACTAAGAACGTAGAAATTAGTAAGACATAATGCCTTAAGCAAAACATTTAAGAAGAACAACATAGTAGTAGATGTAATAGAAAATAACAATAATTCTTTTTCATAATTTTATCCCCAGTTAGATGATCAGTTCTTCAATCAATATTCTCATAAAAGTCCTCAGCTTCCAAATGAGTAATATTTGGAAGGCCTTCAAAATCATCATCTTTATAAGCAAGATTTGCCTCAATATCATCATATTTATTTGAGGGAGCTGCTTCATTATCATCATTCCGAAAGGTCAAGTGTGCCTCCACATTATTATCTTTTATTTTGAGAGAGGCTTTGATAAAGTTTCACAAATGATCAGGCGTACGACATTCACGAGCCCAATGACCTTTCATACCACATCGGTGACAAATATTGATTCTACCTCGAGAAGGATTATTTTGAGAATTTTTGTTACTCTCATGTTTATTTCCACCATAATGACGATAATTATTTCATCCTCTACCACGTCCACGTCCTCGTCCACGATCATGGCCACGATCATGATCACATCCACGAGAATTATTTTCTCTTGAGTCAGATTGATTATGTGTTGCTACAACATTCCCTTCAGGGAATGGAGCAGACCCAGTGGGACGGGCTTCATGATTTTTCATCAACAAAGTATTATTCTGCTCAGCCACAAGTAGGAATGTAATTAATTCAGAATATTTCTTAAACCCCTTTTCACGGTATTGTTGTTGTAACAACACATTTAAGGCGTGAAATCTGGAAAAAGTTTTCTCAAGTAAGTCATCATCAGTGATAGTATCTTGGAATTATACTCAGTTACAGTTTTAAAATCTTGAAATCGAAGGTGTATCCACTCACATCGAGCTTTTGGTAACACCGTAAGTTTTAGGTGGTGATACTGATCCTTCAAATTAATCCATAATTCAAGGGGGTCTTTCACAGTTAAATATTCAGTTTTTAATCCCTCATGAAGATGATGTAGGAGAAAAATCATGGCTTTCGCTTTATCCTGACTTGATGCTTTATTTTCTTGTTTAATAGTATCACCAAGACCTTTAGCGTCAAGGTGGATTTCAGCATCAAGAACCCATGACAAATAATTCTTTCTGGTAATGTCAAGTGCCACAAACTCAAGTTTTGATAGATTTGACATGATGAAAACTAAAAAGAAGATGAATTAGAAATAACAAAGTTTAACTAAGACTAAAATTCTAAAGCAAATAAATATAAATAGATCCTGACGAATGTTCATATAAAAGTAAGTTGATTATTAATTAATGTAACCATAGAAATAATGATAGTACATAATACTTAAAATTTGATGAGAAATTGCCAGGGATTAATTCATCGTATGTAGCTATTTAGTTTTCCTTCAATTGTATAATAATATTTTATCTATTTTAAGTCTATTACTTTTCAAAAATTAAATCTGCAATAAGAAAATGCATTAAATAATAATTCTATTGCAAGTATATAACATTAGTTATAATAATATATAAATAAAAATTTATGCAGCGTCATATTCATGACTAGACTTTTGGACATTATTTTAATTATATTTTTTCATTTAAGTGAATGTGGTATTTTTCAAGTATAGTTGTCCCTCTCTGCTTTGTATTATGATTTCCTCTTTTTTTTTAACGAACTAATAATGTCCTTAAAAGATAAAAAGAAAGAAAAATATGTTCAATCTTCAATTTCTTGATTTCTTAGTGTATTTGTTATTGTAATATATACTCAAAATCCAACCGAAAATTATGGTGGCAATTTATTTATATATATATATATTACTTTAATATAAGAATAACTAAAAGAAATTGTATACACACTAGAGTTAATATAACCCTGTAAATAACAATAGAGTAAAATATATTAAATAAAGATTATCAAACTAAGACTGGAGTTAATATAACCCCGTAAATAACAATAGAGTAAAATATATTAAATAAAGATTTATACAAACTAATTAACTAAAAATTAAATAGATAAATAAGCACTAACATGTAATTAAAGATATATAAGGCATATGTCTTATACCTAAGATAGAAACTTATTAGGAGGAAATTAGAGTCTCGTGCTGATAACGTGTTATAAATAAAGAAAATGTTTAACTTAGATTGCAAGAGGAAAGACCGAAGGAATAAGTAAGGTAGAAAGAAGAAGTAAATATTTGTTTTCACCTCACTTTGATATCTTGCATTGCATATCCTTTTATAGGGAAAATATTACTTAGAGAAGTGATGTTGCTATAGTAAAAGGGTGGTGGTCTCATGACATCCACATATTTACAACATATATATATATATATATTGACATTTTTGCTTTGTACCATAATTTTTCCTATATAAAATAGTGCATATTTTAGGTATATTTAGCTATCAAATGTGAAATTATTTTTAGTCGACCGGCCAAACTTGCCAAGTCTTGTATATGAGTACCAAATTTTATATAATGAACCCAATCCAAAGATTCATCTTTACTTAAGTCCAATCCAATATAATTGGGTTATGAATCAGAAAAACAACCCAAGGCAATGGGCTTCAACGTCTTCCTTTATTTATGCATAATTTTCTCATATTTTATGGCGTTCTTTTGCATCAAATTCAAGTTAAACTAATGCTATAAAGACTCAATTATGATTATGATGCATGTAATTAAGTATCTAATTATATGTATGTGCATTTTTTGTGATTATTTTTTTTGGAGAAACTATATAATTACATAAACGTTCATACTTTATATTAGTATCCAATTTGAATTCTTAAATAGTTACCTACTATTTTATTATTTAATAATTTTATACTAGATTTGGAATGAGAGATATTAAGATATTCACTCCTTCAAAATAGACTAAAATGTAGTCTCTATTTACCTATTCAGCTAATCATACTCCTAAATTACGCCTTTAACGCCAAATCAACATGTTCTCTCTCCTCCTCCCCTCCCACGTTCATCAGTTCAATCTTACTCCTGCTTCTCTCTTTCACGTTCTTTTTCAGTTACTTACCACCATTTAAATGAAATTGAGCACTATAATATGAATTTTGAGATTTGTAACTGATTTCATCCATTATTTAAGTTATATGCTTAATTTTTTTTATAGTTTTCAATAGGTATTTTCTTCTGATTTTGAATAGTTATATTAAGTTTTTTTCTTGGAAGTTCATTAATTAAAGGTTTTTGTTAAACTTGATGGCTAAACAATCTTCAACCAATTAAAAGATTTCTAATAGAAATACAACACACCATCAAGAAGCTAAGCTATCCAAAATAAATCTTTTGATTTGAATTTCACTCAAGAACACTGTGTTACAGGATCATCTTCTGCAGTTGTTGTTGCTAGTGTTCATGAAGACGGTGATTATGATATTGTTATTATACATTAAAAACAGATACATACTTCATATATCTGATACATACTTCATGAATTTGTAATATATCCAACATGTATGTGATATGTATCCGTCATGTATATTTATTAATATTTGTCAGTTTTGTACATGTATTTGATACACACTGGACATGTATCTGATATTTGATACAATGACTAAGTTGTTCTAATACATTTAATTTAATATCAAATACAAATAACCATATATCAAGCTCATGCCATAGTTTAGAGGAATGAGATACAACATCAATTTTGTGTATGTATGTATTTGTAGAATAATTTATCTTTTTTATAAAGTCTGATTCAAATACATTTTTTTATGATGAGTAAACATTCAATAATATTCAAATGCATTATATTAATTTTAGATACATGTCAAAAAGTATAATTCATATGCATTTTTTATATATAAAATCTAGTCTAGTCTAGATATAATAATACTGAAATTTTGATTAGATAAATTATTCAAAAAAATCATTATATTTCAGTAAAATGTGTAACCCAAAAATATATAGTAGGTCATTAGACGTGTGATTTACTCATAAAATTTAGCATTTAAGTTAATTTTATTTTAAGTACACATAATTTTGGATGAGCCGGATACATCTATCTGGGTAACTAAATATAGTGCGAACTGTAATGTTGAAAACACAAGAAAAGACACATAATTAGGTCATAAACTAGTGAAATTTATGTTGTTTACTCTTAATTTTTGGGATACATATTGCATATATGATACATTTTCTGATTATGTTTAGTTTAAGTGATTCAATGAATGTCTATTTAAGTTAATTATTTAATTTTTCCTGTATGTTAAAGGATTTGCACGAAATACTAACATAACGTCACATCCGTTCAACTTGGGCAAACAACTGAACAAGAGTCAAACATTTTATTGCTAAATATAGTTTGATAAGAATCAAAAGGGCAATTGAAAGAATAAGAAAGCATATGTGGAATTATTAAAATCTAATCGAATTAACCTCTCAATTGAATTTGATCAGATAACAATAACCTAAACTTAATCACAAATGAGAAAATCAAAGTGAATCCACGAAGAGGGTAACTCGATGATTGATTAAGCTAAAAGAAGTTAACACAAGAAATATCGGGAATCCACCCTAGTCACTCAACTACAATTACCAACTATGAACTACACTAATGATAGGCTTCATCTAGAAAGTACAAACTTCAAAGCTCTCAATTATTCAATTATATTCATCATAATCTAAGTTTTCCAAAATGATAAAAACTATTATTTATACTAAGGAAATAAAGAAGACATTTCTTTCACAATTTTACTCTTAATGAGATAAGGGCCTTGTTTGATTGTTTTTTTTTGTGAATTCTTGAATTAATTGTGAGATGACCATTTGCACATACATGACCACTTTCTTCTTTCTCTTCACTTTAATAAACCGTCAACACATTATATGTCTTTATTTGGTGTCCATCAAGCTCCTCTAAAGCTTTCATAATCATAGTTATTGGAAAAAATAGCTTTTGGGTCTAGTACATCCATAAGGGGTGCTAGCTAATAAGCCGCTCCATTAGTTAGTCCAACTATTAACCCTAATATTATCTATAAATATACCATTATATGAGTGTTGAAAGACGTGTACTAAACACTTAGAAACAACTAAGGTTTAGGTTTTTTTTTTTTCATCAATTAGAGAGATTTTTAGAGTGGTGAGTAAAAAAAGTTTCATCCTCGAAGATTTTTGATGATCAATAATTCAAATCGTGATTGCTACAAATGATCCAGTTTGTCAAAGAGAAAATTTGTAAGTCTACCAACTACAATTTACTTCAGTATAGTACTAGGATTTCTGGAGAAAAAATATTTTGTTTTAAGCGCATCTTGTGAAATATATACACATTTTTTTTATTTCTCATCTTATATTTGACATTCAAATTTAAGTTTCTACTAAATTTAATTTTGCACAATGTAAAGTCTATTTAAAGAAGAAACGCTTCTTAATCTAATATGTTTGTTCTTGAATCTGAGACGTTTGATTATGAAACTGTTTGATTGAATATACATATTGATCCTTAATAATGAGTAGTACCCAATATAGTGATGTGAGTCTGGTACCAAATTAAAGGCATGCTAATTAGTTTATCTAAAGTAGTCGGACTTCAATACGAATATCGAATACCAAAAGAAAAAATATTACTTTTCTTATTTCATTTTCATTTTATTTCATGTGACATTCTTTTTCTTTATATTCTAAAACGGTTGATATTTTTTTTATATTTGAAAATCATTAACTCTAAACTGTTGTTTTATACTTAATCGCATGCTCATGAGAACTTATATACATATCCGCACCCAATTTTATTTACATCAGTCTAATGAATATATATTATGCTTGTCTTACACAATGTTATCACAATTGACATAGTTAATCAATACACTTTTTACCTCACTTTCTATTCAGACTAGTATGGTTCAGTGTAAACACCATGTGTGAATAAATTTTTACTTTTTTTATATGTAACAAAATATTCTGACATGTTTAAAATTATAAAAATAATTGTTTTTGTTTTTTTTTTCAAAAACCTTGTGGTTAAACAAATATCATCATATAAAATAAATTAAATGAAGTATATCTTTCAGAAAAAAAATAAACAATACCAAAAATATATGAAATTCGATAAAATAATGTGGTCAGTAACGAGGTATCACTTAATTCATTGAATTCAGAGCTTAGTCTTGTACGGAGACGAATTTAAAGTTACATTTAATTAATTAGTTACCT